TATATATATATATATATATATATATATACAATGTTATTTATATTATATACATAACTGATTATTTTCTGAAAATTTGAGTATAACTTGATTTTAATAAAATACTTCACTTTTCATATATATGAAAGTCACAAACGTTTTTTATTACTATATTATATATTATATATTATTTCTTATATATAGATTTTCGATTATTAACCAAAATATCAGAATCAAATATTGTTTTTGGGTAAAAAATTTTACAAACCTGTAAATGTAAAAGAAACCTAAACTGAAGTAAAAAGAATAATAAGAGAAGAATAGAAATAAAATAAGAATTGATCTTTAGCGCCATTTTTTTAGTACTAAACATGTCTTTTTAAAAAGATGGCGTTAATTTTTACTTTAGAAAAATATTTTCTATATTCAAAAAATGGCTTTGATTGAGTCTTATCTCTATCTTTCTTCTATTATTTTTTATTTTTTTCTTTATATTTCATTTGCAACACTTTAGAGATAATGTTGATTTTAATATTTTTACTCTATTTCTGTCCTTTTTTTATTATTTGCTTTTTTGTCTTAGCATGTGATCATAGACTATGGGATTAAATACATTCTCATTATTTTTTTTTTTTGAAATTATAATATGTCTTAATTTTTAACATAACATGATAAAATCCACTTTAAAATATATCTTTAGAGTAACGACTTCTCAAAATATATTGTATACAATGTATATTAATATTATAACGCCAGTGTTTTGACAGCGGTGGGAAACGAATGATTATTTGTAATTTTATATTGAAATTTAATTTTAATTATAATTATTATTAATATTGTAATTTTATTGTGAGTTGAATTTATAACATTGAAAATGACATTAATAAAATTCTGTGCTTTCAAGATATACATAGACAAAAAATACATTGAATGTAAAATATTATGTTTGAACAAGGTTTGTTTATATCTGCATCTCTTTTATATTGATATCTTATAGATTTTTTAATATTTCATTATAAATTATAAATTTTTTCTATTTATTGCCATAATCTATGATTTTTTTATCCTAAAATTTAAAATTATTTTGTAAACAATTTTTAATGTAAACAATTTTTTACTTTTAAGATAGAATGTTTCTTATTTTTTTACTTAAAAAAATGTCGCATAAAAAGATAATAGATGATACTATATATATTTTTAATATAAAAAAAAGAAAATATATATGGATTAAAATAAAATAGAGTGAAACGTTTCAGAGCGCCAACATGAAATGACGCCGCTATTACCAACGCACGTGCAATATGATGTCGTATAAAAAGCAGTGTAAATTATCTAAATTGTTCAATGATTAATCAATGGAAATATTATTAACAATGCTAATTAATATTCAAAAGTGAATATTCGACAATAAAAACTTTAATTCAGTTGTGAATGAAATTAATGCATATTGTATATTGTATACATTCGAGATACTACTGTATACGGAAGCAAATAAGATTTGTAATTGTTAAAGATTTTGAAAAATAATGGAGTGTTTAGTGGCAAACGTAGATAACATGCGATTTGATATTGAAATTGCTCTTGATGAACAATATGGAGCACTTCCTTTACCTTTTACTGGAATGGACAGTACGTGATAATTTTTGCATATTCAATTTGACTAGGTTATGTTATAAAATATAAAAATAATTAAAAAATTAAAATGTAAAATAGCAAATAATTTTTAAATAAAAGTCATTTTATTATATTGACGATCTTTTTGAAGATATTTTATATTTTTTAATAATTTAAATTTGAAATTAAATTAACATTAATTTATTCATTACTAACATTACAAACTAAAATCTGAATATTGTTTCATCATTTGCAGAATCTACTGCTGCAGTATGTCAATTTTATCCAAGAGGTACTTGTGTTAAAGGAGCTTCTTGTCCATTTAGGCATGTAAGAGGAGATCGTACAATTGTATGTAAACATTGGTTAAGAGGTCTTTGTAAAAAAGGTGATCAATGTGAATTTTTACATGAATATGATATGACAAAAATGCCAGAATGTTATTTCTATTCTAGATTTAGTAAGTATATGTATATAATATGATATTTATTATTATTTTAAGAATATATCTATATTTTTATAAATATTCTTCTCTTTTTTAATATTTCTTATTTGTGATATTACTAAGTTTTCCCAGTATAGGTATGTTAAAATGAGTTATGAATTATTAGATGCTTGTCACAATAAAGAATGTCCATTCCTACATATTGACCCAGAAACTAAAGTCAGAGATTGTCCCTGGTATGACCGTGGATTTTGTAGACATGGACCATTATGCAGACATCGACATGTTCGTCGTGTTTTATGCATGGCATATTTAGCTGGATTTTGTCCTGAAGGTCCAAATTGTAAATTTATGCAGTAAGTTGACCATCAGTTAAATATTAAAAAGTAATTATTATGATAATACATAAATTTAAATTTTTATATTTTTAGTCCAAGATTTGAATTACCAGCAGTACAAGATATGCAACCTAAAGAAGGTAAAAAAGTAATGATCACTTGTCACTTTTGTGGAGAAGGTGGTCATAAAGCAATTTATTGTAATAAAATGCCACCTGATGTACGTGAAGCTCAAGTTAGACAAGAGATAGAAGGTAATTCTCATGCTACACATCACATGAATATCCATAATGGACCTCCACCAAGAGGGCCCCAAAAGCCACTTGAAGAAGTCACTTGTTATAAATGTGGAACTAAAGGTCATTATGCCAATAAATGTCCAAAAGGTCATTTAGCATTTTTGAGTCATGCTGGAGGTAGTGGAAGTGGTACTCAAAATCAAAATTACCGTAGGTGATTTCATTTATTTTATTTATATAAAATCAATATTGTGATTCTATTTTAATTTAGTATAATCATTCATCTGTAAAAATTTCTATATCATATAGTAAAATAAGTTTAATATAATTACTTTCATATTGATTCATGATACCAGCATCTCTGAATGAAATAAAATAACTGTTTATAAGAATTTTGTACTTTACATAAAAAAAAATTTAACTAAATTAAAGGATATTTTGGGTTAAAATATCAAAGTACATACTATAACAAATTTAATTTATTGTTTAAACAATTAAACATGTTCCTAAATAGTTATTATTACATCCTGTAAATATATTTAAAGGATACTTGCTAAATTATTAAATATGCTATTTCTATGAGCGCATCGATTTTCGACGTAGAATGTTATAAAAAGATATATTTGTTTACTAATTTATTTAGTTTGTGACATTGAATGGGAAGACGTACTTCGCTATTTGTATATGAAGTGGCATTGTAAGATTATTAATTTTTTAAATCTTGTTCGCTAAAATAACAATATTTTTTACGTGATTATTATTAGAAATATTGATTTTCTTTATTATTGAATGTGCATTTAGTATTTAAAACATAAATAATTCTCTTATTTTAAATATTATTATTTTTTTATATTCGTCGAAATACGTCGCATCTAAACACTGTAAGTTATTGAAAAAAAGTGCAAAATCATTAGAATATTGAATGTCACTTTTTATATGCAAACAAGCAAGTGTGGTTTAATTGGAAAAAAGAACTATTTGCATAAAAATTGTTTTTATCATGTTGTACTATAATCAATAACTTCAACATAGTTAGCAGGAAAAAGTCCATAAGTACCATCAGGACCAAGACCTTGCCACCATCCTTCATCAATAGCATCTATGTGTGTAATAATATCTCCAGGATCAAATGTAATTTCCGTATCATCAGCTGCTTGATAATCATATAAAGCTCTTGCTTTCATTCCTTCATTATTTGGATCAAAATATAAGTACTGACCATCCATTTGACTGTACAACTCATTTTCAGTAACTACTTCTTTTGTCATTGATGATTGTTGAGATTCTTCTAGTTCTGACAATTTTGATTCTTGAACTTGATTCGGAGGTGGAGATGTATTTGAAACAGTAGTAGTTACTATACTATCAACATTATGTGTTTTATTCTTTACTATTTTCACTTCTTCCTGTACTTTAGTATGAGATACATCCTTTTGTTGACTTTCTTCAATTGCTTTTTTAGCTGCTTCTACATGACTATTTTTCGGTATATATTGTTGCTGTATTGGAGAAGACTTCATTTGACCAGCTGCTGAATTCTGTTCAAAAACAGCTCGTGCATTTATTGTTCTTTGTGCTATTAATTGTTGCGTTTCTTTGCTTCTCTGTCGTCGCAATTCTTCACTTCGTGATCTATGATCATCATCAACATCATTGCTATAATGTTGACTTGCAGCTAATTGATTACGTAAATTATTCGCCTCTTCGGCACGTTGTTCTGCCAATTTTTGTCGCGCTATTGAATTTTCCTTGGCAGTGACCTATAAATATTCAAATAACACATAAATATTAAATATTGAATAAACAAAATAAAGTGTACTTACTTTTTGTTCTCTGAGCAATGTTTCTTTTTCTTCTCTAGTTCTAATTTCTTCTTCAAGCCGTTGTCGTTCTTTTTCACATTTAATACGTTCTTGCTCTAATCTTTTCTTCTCCTCCATTTCCTCTCTTTGCCAGAATTGGTCACGTTCGGTTGCATTTATTTCTTGTTCAGGAATTACTCTGCAATATACATTCTCTTTAAATTAAAAATTCTAAAATTCTTGTAATTAATATAGTAAAAATATATACCTGCGATATGTAGTTCCTACTGGACCTGTGTTACCTTCATTTTCTCCACGTGGTTCATTAAATTTATATGCTGAAGCCGTTGCTCTAGCAAGTTTTTCCATAATAGAATCTACTTCAACATCATCTTCAGAACGAGCAGTAATTGTTATATGTGCACCTTTTAATAATTTTTCTATATCTCTAATATGGTTTGCACAGGTACCCTTTCTAACAATTGGTGCTCCTTCTCCTTGCTAAAACATGGTTCATTTTATTATATACGTATAATACAGTAAAAACAATCTTTTATATAAAAATTTTTACCCAATTTATTAAAAGACATTTTGGTAAGCTTGTTTTAGTGTCTATTACACGACAAAAGGCATACATGATATGACTACTATTTAAAGAATCAATCATTTCTTCTAGACCTCCATTTCCAGAACCAACCACTTTTAAATTGTTAGTTTGTCCTTCATATCCAAACAAAGCCCTATAAATATATCTTATTATTATATTTTAATAAAAATTTGCATATTTACCATTTTATTCTTTTTTTAATTAATAATAAAACTATATATAAATAGCTAATAAAACATAATAGATATTTTTTATTTAATTCAATATTATGATCATTTGTTTTATTATTAAAAATATAAATTACGTCTATTATTTATATCGATCGAAATAAAAACATAGATCAAATATAATTTGTTTTGTAAATCTCTGAAGATTTAATTGAACATTTATAAATTTTTAAGTTTTATACATATAGTCATACCGACTTTAGACACTAGACAAGACGATAAAATATAACATAAAAGAAAGCCTACCAATTAGTAGACGATTTATCGTCGACTACACTGTGCCAGGCAGCCACCAAAGCGTCTTTATTTTTTGTTAAATTAATTGACATCTTTCTCGTTTAATTCATAAAAAATCAACCATAACAACAAATCCAATAAAATTGCTACTGACAAATTTATGTCACAGATGCATCTTCACGTTTTGCCTTTTTGATAAATGTCAACGCCCTTCTGTTACCAACCGTAAAACAATGATCTTATCTATCAAATAACACGTTTAAATAGATAAAAAATTAAATGAACTTCTATTTAAATCACGAATAAGTACAAGTTTTGACATATACTAAAACATATTTTAACAAAACTTTATTGATGAAATTCTTCAAGACTGTTCTACAAAGAACGATTAAATATGCATAATGCACTAATGGAAATATCCAATCAGTAAAAATAACACTAGCAAATAAGAAGTAAGATACAGTTGAAATATTTTATATATAATTGAATTATTAAATTTATTTTATTTCTTATTTAAAAAATTATTTCTAAATAAATAAAAATTAAAATAAACAAATAAAACATTTATAATTCAACAATATTGACAAGATATTAAAGTCAATGTTTAACGATACAAATCTGAACTACAACGTGTGTAGTGATATTTTCAAATAAATTGTCATAATAGCAATTTTGTGCCGGTAATCGGAATCAATATAATTTTTAGTTTAAATAATTATTAAACTGTATAATATAAATTATATAATTATTTTCATTATGTTTATAAAATAAAAAAATAAAAAGTCTGAATAAAATTTTTAAGTTTGTTAAGTATGGTAAGTTTATCAGTTTCGATTTGGCAAGTTAACCCTTTTTTTTTCTCATAATAAAATAATTTTATTTATAGTTGTTTTATTCGTTCTTCAAATCCTTGATCGGAAAGGATGTAGTTGTAGAATTAAAAAACGATTTAAGGTAAGACCAGTAAAAACATTTTTTCATTATTTAATAAAATCATTTAATAAAATTTTTTTATTTAGTATTTGTGGCACTTTGCACTCAGTAGATCAATATCTGAATATAAAATTAACTGATATAAGTGTAACTGATCCAGATAAATATCCTCACATGGTTCGTAATAAGTTTTAATCTTTCTAATGATTCTCTTAATAGAAATGAAAATTATAATAAGAAATAAAAATATAATAATTTTCAGTTATCTGTAAAAAATTGTTTTATTCGAGGATCGGTAGTACGTTATGTACAATTACCAGGAGATGAAGTGGATACTCAGCTACTACAGGATGCTGCACGCAAGGAAGCAGCAGTTCAAGCAAGATAATTTATATTATTATTAGATATAAAAATATCTCAGATTTATTTTTTACTATTGAAATCAGGAATTATATACAATGAACATACAAATTATGAATTTGTACATCTATAAGTATATAAATTGAGTTTATTATTAAAATATTAATTTCTAATTATAAGAATTCTTAAAATTATTCCTTATTATATGTATTGCATATAGAAAAAAAAAACAATTATTGCTATTCATAAAAGCAATAAATTTTATAAAAAAAAAATGTTATATAAATAATAAAACAAATATTATTTTAAGAGATAAAGAAATGAATATTTAAATGAATATATAGAAAATCAAATTATAATGTTATGCATTTAAGCTTTTGTCCAATCTACTAATGATTTATCATACCAAATGTATTTACCCTTTATATTTGTATCTTCTGGTAGTAATGCACAAAAAACAGGAGCCTCAGCACCTTGATCAGGTGTTAAAGTACCTCGATGACTAGTCATATCAGTGTCTACATAACCAGGATGTACAGCATTTACTACTAGACCTTGTCTAGAATCTGAGTTGAATATTCTTTGATGAACTCTAGCTAAAGCAGATACTCCCACTTTACTTACAACATAAGCAGAATTTGCCCACCCTTTTTCTAAATGTGTATTTGTCTTTGCAGCTCTAAAAATGTAATTAAAAACTAAAATATATTTTAGCATTATATTAAAATATTATATTAAAATATAATTAATTATATTAAATTATAAATTAATATATATTTGTAATAATTTAACATACTCGACAAATTCATGCATAATATTGTCTAATTCTTCCTCTGTGAGATTTGGATTTAAAAATCTATTTCTTAGCGTTTCACTAGGAATTAATGATAAGTGACCAGAAGAACTTGATACATGTACTACACGTGCATGTGGTTTTAATAATGGATAAAGTTTGCTACATACTTTTCTTAAACCAAAATAATTTGTTTTTAATGTTTCTGCAGCTTGTATGGAAAAAGGTTCTTTAGCATCCATCTAATTATTTAATAAAACATATATAACAGTATTTTTTAAAAAAGAAAAATAAATTATTAAATTAGGCTATAATTACTTTAAATGCAATAGCAGCATTGTTAACTAATACGTCAAGTCCTTTATATGTTTGTTCTAAATAATTATAAAAAGTAGAAATGCTATTATCATCAGTAATATCAAGCTGATGAAATTTGGGTTTTAAACCTTGTTTTTCAAGTTGTTTAATCGCATTCAATCCTCGATTGACATCACGAGCTGTTAAATATACAACTCCATCAAATTGTTTGCAAAGTTGTTTTACGATAGCAAAACCAATGCCTTTATTTCCACCAGTTACCTAAATATTTCATAAATTATATGTATACGATATTTGAATAATTTAAGTAAAATTATATAATAATCATGACAATGATTAATATAACACAATGACAAATAGTAATCAATACCGATAAAACTAATAAACAATATATAATATTCTTATACATATAGTTTATATTATACTTACAACAGCTACACGTGTCATGTTGAATATTTTAATACGATTTTTTATTATTAATGACTAATCAAGAGAGAATTAAATAGAATATTCTGGTAATATTATATTTCAATAGATCGAATTACTGAATATAGTATAGTAAGACATATCGATATATATATATATATATATATATATATATATATATATATTGTATATATATATATATATTGACATCACGAGCTGTTAAATATACAACTCCATCAAATTGTTTGCAAAGTTGTTTTACGATAGCAAAACCAATGCCTTTATTTCCACCAGTTACCTAAATATTTCATAAATTATATGTATACGATATTTGAATAATTTAAGTAAAATTATATAATAATCATGACAATGATTAATATAACACAATGACAAATAGTAATCAATACCGATAAAACTAATAAACAATATATAATATTCTTATACATATAGTTTATATTATACTTACAACAGCTACACGTGTCATGTTGAATATTTTAATACGATTTTTTATTATTAATGACTAATCAAGAGAGAATTAAATAGAATATTCTGGTAATATTATATTTCAATAGATCGAATTACTGAATATAGTATAGTAAGACATATCGATATATATATATATATATATATATATATATATATATATATATGTGTATATATATATATATATATGTGTGTATATTCTTAATTATAATCTACATTCTTAAATATAAAAATATAAATATATATATTATATTTAAAGAAATTAGAAATGTTTGTTATCAACTTTTTTTTTTTTAATATTAATTTTAATATAACATTATAATCACAATTTCAATATATAAATATGACAAAAAGATATATACATACATTTTTTTTCAGATACAATTCAATAATTACAATTGAATTATAAATCAACATTAAATATATAATTACAAATCAATATTAAATATAATATAATTTATTATAAAATTATAAATAAAATTATTTTTATTTATTAAGTTACTACTTCTAATGTAGCAATTCTATATTGTCTTGTTTGAATGTTTCTAATAAGAACAAAAGAATGTTTTTTATTAATTAGCTCAATCAGGGCATTTAATGTAGTATATCCTAAACCTATACCTTTTGCTTTTGTAAAAGAAAAGTCACCTATTGTTATATAACCCATAATTTCCCTATCACAAGAATTTCGTACACTAGTACAATCTGGAAGATATAATTGCGACATTTTTTGAAATTGTTTGCATATAGCTGCACGACTTATTTCCAGTAATTTTTTAGATTTATCTTCATAATTAAAACTTTCAACTTCTTTGTTTAACATTTTGCTTAATTTATTAATTACTGTTTTTTTATGGCGTACTCTTTGCTTTTTTAATCGTTTTAAAAATGCCAAATGATTCTTTCGTAACTTTTTCCGAAAAGTTTCATTTGGATCAATATTTAATTTTTCGATAGGACCTGACCAATTTCTATTATTTTTAAATTTTTCTATATCTTCATTAGTTGGCATACATATTAAAGCAAATCTTTTGGGGCATCCTTTCTTTACAATATATACTTTAACGCGAATTAAACAATTTTTATTTTCAAACGCATTTTGCATAGTAAGATTTGATGTATGATTGTTTAATATTTTATGTTTTCTTTTGTTATCTTCTGAACTTAAACTATCTTGTAGAAAGTTTAATAATTTACGATTTCTTAATACAAAAAAATCTTCTGTAGCTGCCCATTCTTTCATTAAAATTTTCCATTCACAAAAAAAGGGACTAGAAATTCCAAACTTAATAAAGTTTACACGTCTATTTGGTGGATAATGAAAATATTTTTCTTTTAATTCTAATTTAGTATTTAATGCTTCTCTTGCATATGCTGGTGTATCTGGATCATTAATATTTGAACATTTCATGTTTTCATATTCAAATGCTATAGAATTTGATTCTCTTAATGCACCAACTCTTACACAACGAAATATGCAAGCAAGCCAAAATGGCATAGCCCAATTAGATGGAAGAATAATATCTATACTAGAATTTAAACCTAGAATAATATATTTGAATAATATATATTCAATCATCATTGATAAAATAGATGCATTGTTAATATTTACCTGTATTACCAATCCCAGGTTTTTGAATTAATAATATAGGTATTTTTGCCATGACTTCTTCATTAAAGTATTTATCATTATTTAATCCTGGTACTAAACATTGGCTTCTTAGTTTGTTAATTGCACTTGTTGTTATATATGTTTTACTAACTTTCTCTCTTATTTTTTGTTCCCAAAGTGGACTAGAATTTGCTTCTGCAATAGGCATTGATATTATTTCAATTGTTTTTACTTCTCTTTGAGGCTTGGTTCTTTTAATAGGTAAATAGAATCTTGGATCTAGAACTGTAAAACCAAGAACAATATTTGGTGGTAATTGACTAGGTGATTGTAACGTTTTTAGCATTTGCCATAATTGTTTTTGAATTTTTAAAGATTCAATATTTTCTTGATTGTAATATTCAATATGCCATGATTTATTATTATAATTCTGACTTTCACAATTCATTTGATTATCATCAAATTGCATTTTATCTGATTTTAAATGAAATATTTTATCGAAATTTGGCAAATGAAAAGCATTGGTTAAAACATTAATAGTTGATGGTCCATAAAAACGAAATCGATTAAAAACATTTTTATGAATAATCATTTTACAATTTGTTTCATTAATATACAAAGAACATTCTGGAGCTTGATTGTTTGAATTAAAAATAAAATTTTCGTCGCTTGATTTAAATCCAAAACTAAGAATAATTTCTGTAATAAAATCATTTAGAAAAGATGGATGTACCCAAATCCATATAGTTCTTAGATCAGAATGACTTGGTCTCCATAAAAAATATACATAACCAATTGGAAATTGAGGATAGCCATTTTTTTTATAAAACATTACAGTTCCTTCTCGAGTACCTGTAATAAAAATTTTTGCAGCAAATGTTAATTCCAATGGATTGCAATGGCTTTTTAATGTTTCTTTTAAAATTTCTTCAAGACCATTAATTTCCACACATGTATAATATGAAATATCTTGCATCAAACAATGTTTCGCTATAGCACGATAATTAGCTTTGAAACATTTATCGTTCGCATAATTTGCAATTTTGTAGCCCCATTTTTCTATCATATGAAAACGTTTTGCATGCCAAATATGAGTCTCCAACCAAATTTTACTTCTTTGTCTTCGTTTATATTCCGCTAATAAATTACGTGGTCGCCTACGATATCTACGTGATGGTCTTTTAATTTTTGGCGGTAATCCAGATTTCGTCATTTGATTTAAATGTGCTTCCTGTAATCTGCGCGGTAAACGTTTAACATTATGTGACATAACACGCCTGCGCATATACACGGGCAATTTTTGAAATACAAGTTTCGTTTGTTGAGGATTCTCTGTAAATATATTAATAATAATTTATATATTAATTAATAATAATACTAATTAATATTAATTTCTTACATAAGTGACATAAATTTATAAAAGTTTGTTAAAAAAATTATAGTTTATTAAATTAATTTGATATATTGCTTAAAGTACCTATAGAATAAGTCATTGCAGCAATTTCACTAGCTCTTGCAGAAACAAGTTTCATAATATGAATTTCATTTGGTAATTTTTGTGATCCACCCAAGAATTCGTCAAATTGTCTTGTTTCCGCCATTTTTTTTTATAGATGTTTAAATTTGTTTACGTTAACCTGATATTCTTCAAAGTATTATTTAATAAGTTATTTACAAATTAATATATCTTAAATTAATATATTATTAATTCTATTATTTATCCTAATGATATATATATATATATAATAAATGTAGAAATAATTTTTTAATATACAAGTTATACTTGTATATTGTATATTTCTTAATATTATTCCAATTCTTCATAAGATACACGTGTTGAGATTTACTTTCTTAAAACATGGTTAAAAAATACTAATTTAACATAGAAAGGTCGATGGATTTTGAAATAGTCAAAAATATTTAAAGCATTTGCCTATAGGGGGCATTTTTCAAGTCAATAAGAATTGGACTTAAAGGAAATAAAATCGTAATAATTATTTATCAAAGTGTGTACTCAACATGCGTTGACTGTGTTACATTTGAAGCGTTCACTAACCAATAAGAGGAAGGTTAAGCTCAACGGTACATCAAACATCAAGACTTTCATTGGCTCAACGAATTCATACGTACGAACAATATCTAAAAGCAGTGGAAATCGAATACTATGTGGGAGTTTACTGTTGGTTTACAATCTATACATTTGCTTCCGTTCAATGATGTTCAATTTGCCTATTATTTGCCAGTTAAATGTTCAGTACAATCCTTCTGGTAATGTCAAGATTCTCGCTGTGAAATAGTCGCCATCTTTGCGACTGAGTCGCATCTCTTAATTTGGCTCGTTGTATGTTCCGCGCAGCTTTATGTAGCGTCAAAGAAAAAAATCATTGAAAGTTGGTGTCGAAGCAAAGCGGTTCGACGAGACCGGATAGCGTTCGAGCTGTACCAAGAGTGTAGCTCAGCAAAAGTGGGCGGAACGCATGGTCTTACGCTCTTTTAGCCTCGCTGTAGTACGTGATAAGAAAATTTTTGCATTTGATAAGTGACACATCGAATTCCTGTTACTTGTTCATGCAGTGATAATATATTAACTTATATAATTTATCAATTGACCATTTACCGGCGTATGCTATTATAGTGTGTGTTTGTTCGAACATCATTTAGTGTAAGAAAAATGAGTTATCAACGTAACGCTAGCAAGATTATAGTGCCAGACGAATTGCGGGACGTTCTGTTAGAGTTCACAATTAGCTATCTGTTGGAGCAACCAGTGGATATTATCGACTATGCCATAGCTTTTTTTACGCAACTTCGGGAAAGCCGTCAAACTCAGTTGATTCAAGACCCTGCGCAGACCACCACTTCTACGCCGGACGACTCTATCGATGAAGGTAAGCCAGTGAATTTTCATTCGAGATGCGACTTCTCATCGTGTCAAGTATTCTTCCTGAAGCCAAGTGATATACTTATTTTCAGAGATTTTAAGTGCATATTTGCGATATTTTATTTCGATTTTAAAATTTGATCGGTGTGTTAGTGATTCTTAACAACTTTAGAAAAAAATTTGTATACGTGCATATCGATGGAAACCGGTAGGATTTTTCCCGCTTAATTTATACTTTTTGTCCATGTGCTCTTTAAATTTGCTCTTTAAACGGTGAATTAATTTAATTAATCTCTTTTATTTATTTTTTTATATAAATCAATAAATTGTTAATGAATATTTGTAAAAAAAATATTGAAATTTTTCAATATTTTGGAAAATTCAAATATGTTTTTCTTACAGAACCACCAATTACAAAGTTAGCAACAAGAAGGAAAAGCGTTTTCGCGGAAACCTACAATCCGGAGGAAGATGAAGAAGATGAAGGACTCAAGGTGCGTTTTATATTTTTTAACTTTACACATTTCATGAGTTTTAATTATTTTTTTTTAATTCTTTATATGTATCCTATGTACTTTTAATCATATTATACAAAGAATTATATTATCGATAAATTAATTTTAAGCAAAAATTACATGAATTGATAATCAATTGTTATTATTATATCGAAGATTTGATATGATAAAACTATTAGTAAAAATTTTATTTTAAATTAATATTTTAAATTATATTGAGACAAGTTAAAGAGATAAAAAAATAAGCTCTTTATTCCGGTATATTAGAACAAGGATACCGGACAAAGATAGAGTTAACATGTTTCATGTGTAGATATATACATATAAAAAAGACATATATATATATATATATATGCAGCACGTGTACCAAGTGTATAAAAGCTAAATATGGATGCTTTATGATTCGTTTGAATAATAACATACGGCCAATTGCTTTTAAAGAAACTTCATGTGGTTTCCAGAAGACATTTCTATTACGATGGATTCTAAGTTTTTTTTGTCGATTTAATGCATTGATTGACATATATCAAAACATTGAAAGCAACGACTTTTTCTTTTTTTTTAAAGTACAAGCATATTCAGGCTGTGCGGGTGACGAAACGGGATGATTTACTTTGCTCGACGATGCGAACGATGTACCTTTGTGACGTCAGAGCGCGTGTTCGATAACCTGCTACCGACGTGACTTACATATGTATAATATACATACATATACATGTGAACGTGTTTGTGAATGAGAAAGAGGGAGAGTGAGAGAGAAAAAGAGACATATGGGAAAGGCATGTCAAATTTGGAATTATATTCAAAGCATTTCAAAAAGTAACATAATCTTGATTATTGATAACTTGAGCCTATTGATAAATCATCAAAAATATAATGGATGGATCAATCACAACATATAATTATTTTCTTTATCATAAAATATTAAAAAATTTAATAAATTCTGTATAATATATAAGATATAGATTTTAATTTTTCCATAATTATTAATATTTTTTTATATATATCTACATGTTTTATTGTTGATTAAAATTAATTGATTAAAACAAATCAATATCTAAGGCAGATAATCGAAATTATTTCTCTATGAAATATTGATACATTTTTCGAAATAATTAGATGATCATTTTTTTAAATGATTAATGAGTAAGCTACATATTCCATATCTAAAAATCTTATATTCGATTTTTGTACATGTATCTATATGTATGTTATAATAAGCTAATAATTTGATATTAATTGATAATCTTCATTATATTAAATAGGAATGATTCTAACATTTATGTTACAATTCGAATATTAGATTATCCAGTTTTAAAATCAAACAAGATAATAAGTTTCATTTTTAGTGGATCATTCTATAGCATATATATCATATAATGTAATTGAGTGATCGATGCATAAGGTACTCAGTATATAACATTTCTCGAAAACGACTTTCAGCTCAATTTTCAATTTCCTTCTCCGTTCGTTTTAATCGAAACAATTAGATAATGTCGCTTCTGACGCATGTTCTTCATCACTGTTTTGAGTTCATCGCTTCACTTTATACAAGTTTCAACTCAACATTCAATACCATTGAAAAGTAGATTATCAAACTCAGAAAACTTGTTTTTGAAAATTAACATTAATTATACGTATAAACATCATACAATTAATTATGCAAATGAACGGACTGAGAGAGATACGACTCCTTGTTAGAAGACAGTGTAAAATAGTGCATATATTCTTAAGAGCAGTGAGAAAATTATATATGTAATAGAAATGTAGAAATAAAAATAAAAGTTAAAACTCGATATTATTTTTGTGAAGATAAATTAAAAAAATTGTGACAGACAATTTTTCATTTGTGACAATTATTCTTTATTTATTTTGCTTTTAAAATTGATTTGAATGAAAAGATCAAATAGATAATATAAAATGAAATACGGTTTATCAGATTTGTTTATCACGTTATTGAATTTCTAAAAAAAAGAAGCTTTAAAACAGCTATATAATAAAATATCTATTACAGAAGAGTATAAAATTCAAATGTTCAAGTGTTGTTCAACTATTAAAACAAGAAAATTGACAAAAATTGAATAGATAAGAAATAAAAATCACAATCAGAATAGTGAACAAATAATATAATTTTAATATAGAATCAATGTACACATTATAATTTGAATATAAAGAATATATAAAAATTTATATTCTTTATTTTGAAAAAACAAATACAACTTACAAAATTTAGAAGATTTACGTTTCGATTTAATTTAATTTACGATTTCACTATACATTGATCTATACTATATTATTCTCTTTATGAGGATCGATTATAGATTTTACGAAAAAAGATAAGATACAATTATTTATCATCATCATGTAATTTAGAATTCTTTTATTTTCCAACACTACCGGTATTGGCTGCTGGTAAACCAAACGTAAGATCGTAAAAGAGTTCGATTTTTCTTCTTTTTTTTTTAAACTTACCGTACTGTGCAATCTACCCACGCGTATCTAATGGAAAACCCTTTCTTTTTATAACATATTCAGGTCTAGCTTTATCGATCAATTACGCTGCAATTAATTTATAATATCGATGCGTATCATTGTAATTCTTTAAGCATTAAGAGTTTATAAAATTTATTGAATTTAAATATTCGGTAAAAGCTATTCAAAATAATTCAAATATACAATACTTCTTTGTGCAATAATAAAAGAATAGGTCAAAATACAATTATGATTAAAATCATTATTACATGAACTTTTATTTATAATATTATAATTTATTAATTACAGATTGTGCATCCGAAAACTGACGCTCAACGAGAAAGATTGGCTGACAGCATAAAACATATTCTTCTCTTTCGATCGCTAGATGAGGTAAGTTAAACATAGTACACATATACTATCTAACTTGCACATAATTGAGAATTGGCGCCAATTCGAGGACATGCCAATCGGTATATGTAATCTACTCAATTGAAATTCAAATTCTTAAGAACGAATTATTCTATAAAGATCAAAGAAGAAAAACAATCATAAAAAAAATTTAGATTAGAATACACATATAAATCTTTAATCTTAATTTAAGAGAATATTCATCATTTTTCTTAAGTTATTTTTAATTTTACTTGAATATCAATAAGTTCACTAAATTCATTAATGATTGCATAGGATTTAAGAATTTATGAATAGAAAATGATATGATTAAGTTTAAAAAAATTATTTACAAAATGTTTTATATAAACAACGAATTAAAATTATTAGAAAAAAAGAATATTTTTAATATATAATTTTTTTAATATATAATATTTAATTTTTAATATATACATATATATATATATATATATATATATATATATATATATATATAATTAATTA